CAAGGATTCTGAAGCTTCATCTGACATATTTTGGGCATGTTGCAAGGAGGGACTGGTCCTTGGAGAGGGACATCATGTTTGGCAGAGTGGAGGGGCAGCCAAGAGAGGAAGACCTTTGATGAGATGGATCGATTCTGTGACTGGGGCAGTGGGAATAAGCGCGTTTGAGATGGCTAGGTTGGCACAGGATAGAAGAGCGTATAGAGCTCTTGTACATAGGGTCGATATGAGTCGCAAGCGACTCGATGGCACATAACAACAACAACAATTTAGCAATGCTGAGTTGAGTGGCCTCTGTGGCAAACAGCAGGAAGAGGCATCTTTGCCGACCTCAGCTTAGCGTGAATACAGCTCAATGCTCCGTAAGGCTCACAGCGTCCACAGATGTCAATGGTGATGAGTTTGGGATCCACACTCCTGCTGCAGAGCTGAGAGAGGACTAGCGAGGGGTTTGGAGGTGAAGGGCTGAGCGGGGGCCCAGCTGAGCATCAGGGGGTCAGGAAAGAGGGCCACTGGACAGCCCCATCACCCCTCCTTGGGTGTAGGGGGTAGTGGAAGAATTTGGACCTGGGTTGGAATCCCGGCTGGAGAGGTGGAATCCATTCCCCAGCACCATCTTGCTCAGAACGCGCTCTCTAAGTAACGGTGAACCCATCTCTTTTTGCCATCTGCTCTCTCTCTGTCCCCCACACCCAGGTCCGGCCCCCCGGCTGCGCCTGGCCGATGGCCCCCACGGTTGCGCCGGCCGTCTGGAGGTGTGGCATGCAGGGCACTGGGGCACAGTGTGCGACGACGCCTGGGACCTGCGGGATGCCGCCGTGGCCTGCCGGGAGCTGGGGTGTGGGGGAGCTCTGGCCGCCCCTGGAGGCGCCTTCTTTGGGGAGGGCACAGGGCCCATCCTCCTGGACGATCTCCGATGCCGCGGCAACGAGACAGCCTTGAGGTTCTGCCCAGCACGCACATGGGGCCAGCACGACTGTCACCACCGGGAGGACGCAGGGGCCGTGTGTGACGGTGAGGGGGCCCCAGACATGCAGGGTTCTGACGCACACCCACTCAACTCACCCTTCACATTCTCTGTCCACACTTTCCCTTCTCCTCTCCTTACAAGGAAAACTCCATCCCCATCTATGTTCTGTCCTCAGTTTGGGGTGATTCTCCCCACTTCCCTGACAATATCCAGAGACACTTAGGAGCCCTGGTGGTGCACCGATTGAGCACTGACCTGCTGTGTGGTTGAAGCCCACCAGGTACTTCAAGAGAGAAAAATGAAACAGCCTGCAGAAGTGGAGGGCGTCGATCTGGAAAGCCTCTCATGTGGTTCTGCTCTGGGCTAGGGGGTCGGGAAGAGTTGGACCCCATTAAAAGGCAGAGATTGGGGTTTTTCCAGGGACATTTTGGGTGACCCAGCTGGAGAGTGGCCTGCTACCGTAGAGATGGCCAGGGATGGTGCTCAACATGCCACAATAAACAGAACCGTCCCAACCAGGAATTAGCCAAAACCACTGCAGCTGCTGCTGCTCTTGGCAGGACTCACGGTGCCCCGTGCTGTCCCACATCCCCTCCCTGTCCCTGACACACCCCAGCCCACTGCCGCAGGCACCGTCGGTCCGCCTGGCAGAAGGGCTTCCTCTCTGTCGCTGTCCCTCCACCTTTCCTGGTGTGATGACTTGTTGAGTGGACGCCGCTGACGCCGAGCCTGTGGGATAGAGGACAGTGGCCCTGTGGGATTCCCAGGCACAGCAGGCTGCCTCGCTTGGCATGGCGGGTGGCCTTGAACTACCAGCCTTTCAGTTCAGTGAGCAGAAGAGTGTTTAGCCACTGAAACCAAGGCTCCTTCACGAAGAATTAACAACAACATTCACTGAGTGCCATCTGGCCAGAAGTGACTCCTAGCTGGCCATGGTCCCCAAGGTTGTGAATTCCCTCCTGACAGCATGCCCAAGGTATTTGAGATGAAAGTTCCTCATCTTCAACTCTAAAGAGACTGCTCACATATCCTCCAAGACCAACTTGTCTGTCTCTTTATCGGTCCATGGGACAGTCGAGGCTCTTCCCCAACGTCCCAGTTCAAAGGCACCAGTTATTTCTCGCCTTCCTTATTCCTTATGTGTTGCATGTGAAACAATGGGAGATATCCTGTCTTGAATCAGGCACACCTTAGTCTTTAAAGTGACAAGCTTGCTCATTGGCACTTCCAAGAAGTCCTTGACGTCAGATTTCCCCAGGGCAGCACGTCTTCTGGTTTCTTGACTGTTGGAAATATGGAGATCACTTGTGGACCCAAGTAAAATAAAATCACTGCAAACTTTAATCTTTCCTTCACCACGGTGCTGCCTACTGGTCCAGGGCCAGGGCCTTTTGTCTTCCAGATGTTGTTGTTGTTGGGTGCTGTCAGGTGGTTATGACTCGTAGTGACCCATGAGTAACAGGCTTGACCGCTCTTCACCATGGACCGTCCTCACAATCTCCGCCAGACTCAAGCCTCTTGTGTGGTCTCTGCATCAGTCTGTCTCGTGGACAGTCCTCTCTTCCACGCACCCTCTGATGTTGAGAAAGAATTCATCTGATGGCAGGGAGGCCAGTACACAGCGGCCTCCGTCAGTCTATCCTCCGTGGTCCTGCTTCCTGTTCCCACTGTAAAGCATCCCTTCCGTGTAATATCACCTCTGTCTGTCCCCTTCTCGGTCTCTCTCAGCCCCAATGTCCCCTCCTTCTCTCCATCCCCACCTCCTCTCTCCTGGTCAAACACATGGGAGACTTAAGTTGTGTCTGGGGGGGCTTCCCAGGGCGGGCCCCCTGAGTGCCTGAAGCTGAGAGTCCTGGGAGGTGACCAGTGAGGATGTGGAGGGTGGTACGTGCTGAGGATGGAGACTGTCGTCTGAGGCAGCAGCGTGAATGGGTGCTGAGGCCTCTTGCTCCTGTCCCAGGCATGCCTCTGGGCTATGTGACCCCCACACTCCCTGGCCTGGGCAACATTTCAACCTCCAAGCCTCTGCCCCCCACCATGGCCCGGACCCAGTGGACTGCAGCCATCTCCCCTCCGCCAGCCTCCCCGACGTCTCCTCCTGAATCTGGACCAGACACTGGTGAGTGTCCTGATTCCCACAGAAACTGGAGCCAGTGCCCGATGCCTGCCTCCTCCTGGCCCGCCCCAGGTTCTAGGATCCATCTCCTTCTTCTTCCTCACTCATCCTACAGTCCCTTTCTCTCTCAGAGACTGTTCAATGGGGCCCTTCTTGCAAAGAGAATGGTGGTGAACAGGTAGCCAGGGTCCCCTCTCTCAGAAGGGCTGTGACTTTGGTGTGAAGGTCTGCTATCAACCTGTGAAGACCCTTTGGGGGTCCAGACAGTTTGTTCTCAACCTGATGGCTGAAAACCACACAGCAACACCGTCGACGGGAGTCCTGACCATCTGCTCCCAGAGAGATTCCCACAAACTCAATCACTGCATGGATCTCAGCTCCTGGGGAGAGTCGATCTGCTCCTCTGGGTTTCCAGGCTGGAAACCTAGAAACTGACAGATAGCCTTATGTGAGGCTGGGAGATTTTACCCCCCACTTTTTGGGTCGCTTCTAAATGCCTTAACTACAATGCTACAATTATTTTTTTAAATTGCATTATTTTTACGTGTACCGTCAAATCAGATCTGACTGGTACAGGAGGATATTGCCCCCTCCTTCTCCAGCAGAGCATCTGGTGAATTTGAACCGCGTACCTCTGGGATTGCAGTGCAGCGTCTTGCCACTAGGCCGTCAGAGCTCCCTTCTACAATTATTTTTAATAATATATAAACCTTTCCTCCTATCTAGCTCTGTTCCCTCCCTTTCTTAACGTTCTGAAACACACACACACGTTCTTTTTTTTAATTTATTATTAATTTCAGTGAAAATTTACAGACTTTGTATTTCAGTTCATTCATTGTTGCCGTTTCTTTCTTTTTTAAAAAAAATGTTTCTTTTTTAAAAAAAATTTCTTAATTTTAATGAACATTTACAGAGATTTTGGGTTTCCATTAATTCATTGTTGCACTATTTTCTCTATCCTCCTCCCCAGTTCGTTCCTCTTTTTTTTTCTCCCCCCTTGAAAGTCTGTTTTAATTGTCCAATTGCCACAGTGCTTGTCAAAGCCAGTTCTGATTAATCTCCTTTGTCAGTGTGTCCTTTGCCATTCCCTATCACTCTTCCCTGAGAGAGACTTCACCCTGATTCATAAGGAAAAGGGGATGGCGTATTCTCTTAGCTACTTCCTGCTGAAAAGGGACGCTGTAGGTTTCAGGGTGAAGATCTTCTCTCACTACTCTAAAGGGCCCCTTTGACAATAGGATAACATATGTTTCTTAAAGTTAGTTTCAATCGTCACAATGTAACAACACACCTCCCTCTTCCTATTCCAGCTCTTTGTATTCCTTCTTCCTCCTTTCCTGCTCCTTCTGAGCTTAGTGTTTTGTCAAATGTCACCCTTTTGGTCTCGTGTGGTTGATGGCTCTGAGAGGCACCTTCCTCAGGAGCGAACCATCCACCTGAAGTCCTGTCTGTCCACTGGCTGCCAGGTGATGCTGGGTGTGGGTCCCGCTCCACGTGTGAAGGGGGGACCAGTCTCAAGGTTCCACCAGTCTCTCTCAGATCACTAAGTCTGATCCTTTTTATTGTTTTTTAATTGTTGAGCTACATTTTCTATTCATTCTGTCCAAGATATTATGTCTATTTTGCCCAAATAAGATCTGATCAGGTCAGGAGGCCAGCGGACCCCATCCCCTCTTGTCTGCTCCGTGGGATGGATTGACACGGGGCTGATGGCTGAGGGTTTACCCACAGCAGGGGTTGTGAGGAGGGCACAGTGGGGGGCAGTGTCCGCTCTGTGGCCTCTGTGTCACTCTGGCTTGGAGTTGATTCCATGGCACCTAACTGCCACTTGTTCTTTCCGTTGCTCTGTCCCACTCCAGGGTCGCCCCACCTGCGCCTGGTGGCTGGACCCAGCAGATGCTCCGGCCGGCTGGAGGTGTGGCACGCCGGGCGATGGGGGACAGTGTGCGATGACAGCTGGGACCTGCGAGACTCGACCGTGGTGTGCCGTGAGCTGGGCTGTGGCGGGGCTCGGCAGCCAGACCCCCCAGCCGGCCGCTTCGGCTGGGGTGCTGGCCCCATCTGGCTGGACGACGTCGCCTGTGTGGGCACCGAGGCCTCGCTTTCCGACTGTCCCGCCCCTCCCTGGGGCAAGCACAACTGTGCGCACAATGAGGATGTCGGGGTCACCTGTACAGGTAAGGGGGCGCTCCCAGTCAATGGGCTTCCTGGAGGAGGGGGTGGGCTCCGTGGCTGACCCCAGCATCGCTGGAATCCCTCTGTGCTGGATCAAGTCAGTGCCTGTGACGACAGGAAATCTAGGTGTGTGGTCACCACACTGAGGTATAAACTCACTCAAAGAACTCACTCAAAGGCCGCTCAGTGGATAAGTGGTAGAACTGGGTTCCCTCTTCCTATCAACCATCATCCATCTGTCATGACGTTGCCTGTTGGCCCAGTCGTGTGGACTTCTGTCTTCTTCTTCTTCCTCCTCCCTTCCTCTTCCCCTTCCCCTTCCCCTTCCCCTCCTCCTTCTCCTTGTTTTCATGAAAGTTTACAGAGACTTTGGGTTTCCAGTCATTCATTGTTGCACCTTTTTTTTTTTACTTCTGTCTTCTTGATGTTGAGTTTCAGTCCATATTGAAGGCTGTAGTCTTTGATCTCCTGCAGCAAGCACTTCAGGTCCTCCTCACTTTCAGCGAGCAAGCTTGTGTCATCTGCATAACGGAGGTTGTTGGTGAATCTTCCTCTGACCCTGATGCCACATTTGACCATGGCAATGGGGTCAGGTGTGTCAGAGATGGTGGTGTCGGCTCAGGAGAAGGCAAGCTTCAGCGATGTTGTTTGTAGGGTCATTGAGTTGTAGTCAGTTGACATCACATAACAACAACAACAACAACAATCGAGAATCTTCTTTAAAAAAGAAGCAGCACCTTCCAGTGTCCAAGGTGAGTTGCACTGCTCACTCAAAGATTGTGCCTCGTTGCTGGTTCATAACCACGGGCATCTCTGCAGGAGAAAGAGGGACACCCTCCCCTGACCTGACTTACAGCCCAGACACTCACCGGAGAGTCAACCGAGAGAGCTCGGGAACCCACCTGTACATCACTCTCCCCAGGATGAAACAAGGGTTTTACCTGGTGCTGCTGTAATAGACACACCACAAGGGGGTGGTTTTAACAAACAGAAAGAGATTTCCTCATAAAAAACCACTAACCCTGGTAGATACGTTTTCATTCATCCTGTGACTCTGTTTCTTCCCCATTTTCAGCTTAAAGTCTTTATTGACCATTTGGTCTCATTAGACACTTTTTTTTTTTAAAGCAGCCCAGTCCTAACGAGTGATACTCTGTTTTGTGACGCAGCCCGTTATTTAGTTAAGCACTGACTTGAGGTCTAGTTGTGATTCAAGGCTATAATAGTATTTCAGAGCAAATACTGCAGGGAGTCCCTGCATCTTGCCTGGTACAGTAAGTATGTTTTGTTTTGTTAAGTATATGAGGTTCTGGACCTCTCCTCCACATTCCTTGTCAAAGCAGGAGGTCCATCCCTTTGGGAAAGAACATCATAATAAATCTATATTTACTTGTTAACCTTAGGAAACATAAGACTATGAGGCTCTGGTCCACAATCTTCTCTCATTCTGTCAGGCTCTGTCTACTGTTCTCTTGAACAGAAAGGTCAAGAGTGAGGGCCAGGCATCGTCAAATTCTGCAGGTACCATAGGAGCTGAGGCTGTTGTCCAAGCAGAATATTGGTCCTGCTGTTGTGATGTCACTTTGGAACCGAGTGATCGTGGACCCTCCAGCAGGTTTTCAGAAGCTGCAAATTATGTAAGAAAGGCAGATGGTGCCTTTGAACCCTCCGCCTTTGGGCTGGCAGCACAATTCCTTACCCACAAGGCCACCAGGGCTCCCGTTCGTCCTGTAGATGAGTCTCTCCTTTGAGTCTTTGTTTTCCTTCTTTCTCTTTGGCTCTGCGTGAGGCCCTGTGAGGTGCTGTCCGCTTAGCTAGGACTCACAGTGACCCTATGAACAGCAGGCCTGTCCTTGCCATGTCCTCTGGCAGCCTCAATGTGATAGTCACCGTGTCAAAGGAGTTTCCTCTCTTTACATGACGTCTCCCACCAAGAACTGGTCCCTCTTGAAAATCTGCCCAGAGCGAGTGAGATGAAGTCTCACCATCGTTGCCTCTAAGTTATCACTCTGGTTGCAAGACATAGTCGCTTCAGATTACTAGACACCAAGAGTTGTATCGTAGCGGGCTGCTCCACAGAAGGGTTTTAAGCCAGAGGGTGATCTAGCTCGGATACTTGGAAGGTTCCTTTGGTGAGGATCTGATAAGAAGAAAGCATCAGGGAAACTGGAAGGGGCCAGAAGTGAAGTTCTTACTCAGGACAGAGGCTAAGGTGATGGAGAGGGACTGAATGTTAGGAGACAAAGGAAGGGCCAGCTCCGTCTAGGTTGTGTCGAGAAGGTAGGGAATGATGTCTTGTTTAACTTGGTCTACTATGAGTCGTGTATGACTCAATGGCACTTAACAACAACAAAAACAACGAGAGAGCTCTGTTGGCCTAGTAGACAGAAAGCGATGTTACCAAGCCAAAGGTGGGTGATTTTAATCTGTGGCCCTCAGGCCTGGTTTTAGTTATTTTTGGTCAAACATTCTTCTAAGTGGCATAGCCCCGGTCTGTCCATTTGCTGTACAGAGGTAACTAGTGGTTACTGTGATGCTAAACACTGTGACACTGATGTGTCCAATGCGAGAATGGTCACCCATGGTGGACAGTGTTTGGTGGAGCTCTCCGATTAAAACAAGCTTGGACGCAGGAGTGGCATCCACTTCTGAAAGAGCTTGCCTCTGGAAACCCTATGAACATGGAGAAATGGTGAAAGTTATACAAGTGTTCAGGTCTTTCACTCATAGGGTCGCTGTGAGTTGTCTATGACTCAATGGCACTTAACAACAACAACTATTACTACAGCTTAGTACCATTCCAGGAACATGAGCAGCCTCAATATATACTTACAAACTGTAAATGTTTATAAACAATAGACATATAATATGAACACTGACATGAAGGAGATATGCATACCTTTGAACAACCAACTATATAAGATTTTTTTAAAGGCAGCATTTGCCCAGGGATCAAGTTCAGAAAGCAGAAGAGAGAGGAGGGAAGGATGAGTGGAAACAGTACATTTAGGGAGGAACTGGGAGGAGTGCAGTTATGCTGTGGGGATGGCAGCCAATGTCCCAAAACATAATGTGTGTGAATCATTGAACAGAAAACCAATTAATTCTGTGAACATTCGTCCAAATTGCAGCAAAAAGTTTGTTTTTTTTTAAATTGTCACAAATATTTCTGATGTAAGAATGGATAAATCAATGAACGGGCACTTGGTGGTTGGTGGGAGAAAGACGTGAGCAGGATGTGGGCTTGGAGGAGTGGCCTTGTCACTACTGTGTGGTAGCCTTGTCATCTCATGTTTGTACCCCACCTTCCAGGAACCCCTGGCCTGGACTCCGTGTCGGATCCGTTCAGCTGGAGCTGGGTCCCTGAACTAGATAGAGATCGGGACTCCTGGCTCCCAGGAGGACTGACCACCAAGCCCCCTGCAAGGTTGACCCCCAAAGCCCCCGAGAAAGGCACCACTAAGTCCCCACGGAAACCCCCCAAGAGCACTAAGAAGTGGGTGACCAAGAACCCGAGACGGCCAACTACTTTGCCCCCTGTGCTGCCCACCACGAAACCCCCCCAGCGCTCACGGACCTCCACAGCCCCGGCTGCTGAGGCCTCACGAAGATCACCCTCTGATTCTACCACGATGCGGACCACCAAGGCCTCCCATAGACTGACCTCGTATGCCCCCACAACGCTTCCATCACAGGCTTCCCAAGAACTGACCTCCGAGGCCATGGAGAGCCTGACCACTCAGGGCCCCCCCGAGATGACACCGCAGACCTCCATGGAGCCGGCCTCCGACACCCCCACAGAGTCCCCCGAGGACTCCACCCTGCCTCCCGCTGGCACCACCACTGTGGAATCAGGTGAGAGTGACCGGGACAGGAGGGAGAGTGGGGCAAGAAGGCAGAGGGGAAGCTGTCCCCTGCTGACCCCAGAGCCTTCTACCAGCAGGCCAGTTCTGGGTTCGTCTGGCTGATGGGCCCAACCGGTGCGCCGGCCGGCTGGAAGTGTGGCATGCTGGACGCTGGGGGACAGTGTGTGATGACAGCTGGGACCTCCGGGATGCCACTGTGGCCTGCTGGGAGCTGGGCTGCGGCAAGGTCCGACCCCGGGTGGGCAAGACCCACTATGGCCCGGGGACCGGACCCATCTGGTTGGATGACATGGGCTGTAAGGGCCACGAGGCATCGCTGAGTGACTGCCCCGCTGGGGCCTGGGGAACCCACAACTGCGACCATGAGGAAGACGTGGGGCTCACCTGCACTGGTACCGAGGGGCCATTGGGGGGCACAGGGTGTGAACTCAAGGGCCAGTGGTTAGACTAGGGGACCACCCCTGGCTGGGTCTCAGGGGCTGAGTGAGAGGAAGGAGACCCAGCACTCTCCAGGAGCCACCCAAGCAGAGGGGTCTCCAAGACCAAGGACAGGGCTGGAGCCCTCGCTCAATTCCTCCCCAGGTTACACAGAAGATGAGGACTATCCCCCCTGGACCTGGGACCCCCACTCTGGAGAGGACCTGGCCAAAGGGACCACTCCTATGGGAACACGTGAGCCGACCCTGTCCTGGGACACCACCAGAAGTCCAGGGGTGCCCTCAGTGACGAGGCGCCTTTCAGTCACAGGTGAGGGGCATGGGGCGGTAGTAGAGGGTCTTTGTCAGCTTCTCTCCACCTCTCTGAAGGGTTTCCAGAGAGACCCGTGTAAATGAGCTCGTCATGTTGCTGTGGGGAGATCTGCAGTCCTGGACACTCCAAGGTGCTAACTCATCAACAAAGTCTTATCATCCTTGTGTCTAAGGAACATTCTGGCTGTACTTTAAAAATAATAATAATAATAATAATAATAATAATAATAATAATAATAATAATAATAATAATTTACCATCGAGTCAAATCTGACTGGTACAGGAAGAGGTTGCCCCTCCTTCTCCAGCAGAGCATTTGGTAGATTTGAACCACTTACCCTCTGGGACTGCAGTGCAGCTTCTTGCTACTAGGCTACCCAAGCTGCCCTGGCTGCACTTTTGTCCTCCTTTTCTGGCAATTCATGGTATAGTTACTATTCTTCACCAACCATTCAGGACCTTCATCCAGGACCATTCAGTGCCATCCATTCTTCTTCAGCCTTCCCTGATCGTGGTGCATGCATGATACATGTTAGGCAATTGAGAAGAGCATGACTTGAGGTTAGGCGCACCTTAGTCCCTAAGGAGACATCTGTGCTCCTTAACCCTGGGAAGAGATTTTTTTCCCACAGCTGATTTTCCCCAGGCAGTCCATCATCTTGGTTTCTTGGCTTCTGCCCCTCAGAAACACGCCTGGCAGGGGTCAGCAAGAAAGGAAAGAGCAGGCAATGTGTGTGTGTGTGTGTGTGTGTGTGTGTGCGCGCGCACGCACTTATGTGAGAGAGAACAAGAGAGAAAGGTCTTCGATCAAAGCCCACGTCCCTGCAACCAGAATTCCAGGCATCTTGGTGTTTGCCCTCCGAGCTGCTTTCGTGTCCCAGCTCTGCCCCTCGGGGCCGGGGCCGTGCTTTGCACAGTGCACTGTGAGGGAGTCCCTATCACCACGCTCTGCAGATCCCTTCTTATTTGGGGGTCAGGGGGAGAAGGCAGCTACTCAGCTCAAAGTCTGTAAAATGACAAATATACAAGCACAATCTGAGGGAGGTGACGTGTGCGACCACAGGGCTAGGAAGGTGTAGCAGTTGGGGTTCACCTCAAAAGGATGGTGATATTTCATCTCCCTTGCTCTGTGAAGATTATCTGGGGAGGTCAGCCCTTGGAAAACACCATCATGCTTGGAAGACCAAGAGGGCCAGTGAGAGCAGGCCGACTGGAAGGAGCTAGATTGACAGTGACGGCAGCAATGGACTTGAACGTGGGAGGGGAAATGAGGGTGGCACAGGACAGGGAGAGGTTTAGAAGGCCACGATGGGTACCGTACAACAACAGCAACGAGCATGAGAAGTCATCTGGGGACGACTGAAAGCGTAGGGGAGGAGGTGTGTGGGTTAGATGCAAATACCACGGCCTTTCAGGGAGGGCTGGTAGCTTAGAGGTTAGGAATTGTGCTTCCAATCCAAAGGAACACAGTTTGAACCTGCCAGCTGGTCCATGGGAGATCAGATAGGCAATATAATCTCATGTGATTAATAGGCCCTGAACACCCGCTGGAGGGTCAGTTAGGAGTCAGATCTGACTCGACATAAGATCAAACAACAATGCCCTTTTCTAGAAGAGATTCAAGCATCTTCAGATTTGTTTCCACAGAGTTGGGGCACCAATCCCCCACAAACACAGAGGGAGGACTGTTTACATTGAAATACTTCAATCATTGCCTCAATCATTGTCTTGTCCTTTGCTTCACTTTGCATGAATTTTTTTTAAGAAATGGAAATTCTGTGGCAGCCCTGGATTGGGCAAATCATCAGGTACCATTTGTCCCAACAGCACGTGCCCACCATCTGTCTCATGCCCATATTTTGGTCCTTCTCACAATATTTAAAAATTTGCAATATTTCAAAAGTTGCAAGCTCCCTGTCTTTATGTCTAAGCTCATTTCACCAAATAGTTACTGGTAGCCAAGTCCATCTCAGTGAGCTCTTCATGGCAACAAGAGGCCAGGGAAGAAGCTGGAACGAGGCTCCAGTGAGAGAGGAAGTCTGAGCAGGATGGAGCCCCAGAGAGAGGAGAAAAGGGGTCCAACTCTGGAGGAAATGGAAAGGGTGAATGGCAGTGAGTCTCACAGGGAGGAAGTGGGGAGAGTGCTGTTACAATGTGGTGACTGATTAATATCACAAAGCAAAATCTGAATTATTGAAGGGGAAAGCGCTTTGCTCTGTAAATTTGCACTCAAAATAGAAAAAAGTTTAGCAGGAGGGAGAAGGCATTCAAGACCCAGCCACCGAGCTTGTCTCTCTCTCTCAAGGTGAAAAGGATGGTTATCAACATTCCTGGACTCAAGACACACCTTCTAGCAGAGATCTGGCGGGAGGGACGCCCACCACAGCTATACCTGGACTCACCCTCACCACAGGCGCCCCTGGGAGCCCAGGCCACCCCTTCCCAATGCCCAGGGTCCGTGTGGACACAGGTGAGGGATGTGGACCAGGGGTGCACACGTGGAGGGTACAGAAACCAGTCCCGCAGGCTTCCCTAAAAAGACCAAACGCCAAGCCACTGCCCTGGGGTCCATTCTGACTCTCAGTGACCCTGAAGGATGGGTCAGATCTGAACATAGGACTTCCAGGGCTGGAACCTCCTTACGGAGGAGCTCTGGTGGCCAGGCTTCTAGCCAAAAAGTCAGTGGTTCAAATCCACCAGCGGATCCGTAGGAGACAGATTGGCAGTCTCCTCTGGTGAGGATTTGCAGCCTCAGAGACCCCTGGAAGATCGTCATGAGTGGGAGCTGGCACCGTGGCACCGGGTTAATGGGCGGAGATTGCCACATCTTTCTTCTGCGGTGCAGCTGGTGGATTAGAGCCCTGGGCTGTTTGCTGAGCAGCCCGGTGTTTAATGTACAGGGTGCTCTCTTACTTGGGAAAGACCTGATGGAAATGGACCCTAAAACTACATGTCCCGAGGACATTATGCAGAGTGAAATATCTCAGTCACAAAAAGACAAATACTGCATGGTGCCACTGTTTTAAAAGAGGACTGAAATAGGGGTTGGGGTGAGACTGAGGAAGAGGGGATAAATAATGTATACTGCATTGAAACAGATGAGGGAGAGAACTGTTTAAAAGGGATCTATGATTAGGTATTATTGTCATGACAGGAGTCCAGAGTGAAGGCTGCACAGTGGAGTGGACCTGGGGGGAGGAATTGTGTAACAATGAAAGAATTTTTTCTTTTACTTTTCAAAAAGAAAAGCAAATTGGGGGGTGGGGTGGGAAGGGTGACCAAGGAGAAAAGTACAACAATGAATGAATGGAAATCCGAAGTCTCTGTAAACTTTCATTAAAATCAATTTAAAAAAAACCACCCCAAACCTACATGCCCCCTGACCTCTCCTCACTGCATCCCCATCTACTGGCAGCCGCCAGGTGGCGCCTGGGGACACAGCAGCAGCAGAGGAGGGGCACTAGGGCCGGGTGAAGTCTGCTGGCGACTCGTGACGTCAGAGACAGCGCCCCTTCCCATTGGTTAGTCCCGCCCCGCGTCTCCGCCCCTGCAGGCTGCAGTGGGCGGGGCGTGCTGACCTCGGCTGTCCACCTTTCCCTCTGCAGGTTCCACGAGGAAGCCGTGGCCAGATCGCAGGGTGCGGCCCACTGCAGCCAGGACGGCGGCCCCCACTCCTTCCACAGCTCTCAGCTCCTCCCTGGGCCTCCCAGGTCCAGCGCTGACCCCTGACTCTGCCCCTCGGGGGACCCCTGAGCCTTCAGCAGCTGTCACCTCCCACCCTCCAGGCCCCTCACTGGCCGTCTCAGACCCCCCTGACCTCACCTGGACGACTCCTGAGCTTGCTTGGACCACCACCACCACGGATGCCACTGTGGTTTCAGACCTGACCCCAGAGCTCAGACCCACCCCTCCCCCCACCTTGCCCAAAGAGCTGACTTCTGACCCGGCCACTCCTGCCCAGGTGGTCAGCTTGCCCCCCACCTCAGAGCCCCCCCTAGAATCTTATACACCAGGAGACGTGGACACAGCTTCACTCCAGGACGTAGCCTCACAACCTTCTGGACCCCCAGATCTCTCCACAAACCTTCACTCCACGACTCCTCCCCACATTACAGCCCCTCAAACCACCACTCACTCCACCATGACCTCTCACTCCACCAAGACCCCTTACCCCACCACTCACCCTACCACGACTCCTCCCCCCACCACAACCTCTCCCCCCAAAACTCCCCGTACCATGACCCCTCTCCCCACCACTCACCCTACCACGACTCCTCCCCCCACCACAACCTCTCCCCCCAAAACTCCCCGCACCACAACCCCTCTCCCCACCACGACCCCTCACTCTACCACTTACCCCACCACTTATCCCATCACAACCCCACACCCCACCATGACCTCTCACTTCACCACAACCCCTCATCCCACCACAACCCCTCAGCCCACCACAACCCCTCAGTCCACCACGACTGCTCTTCCCACTCCCACTTCTGACCCCTCTACAACCCCTATGACCACTACGAAGTCCCCTCCAACCTCCTTGGAGACAGAGCCTCCCTCTCCCACTCCAGTCCTAAATGTCAAAGCTATCCCATTCCCCCAGCTGACCTCTGTAGACGTCCCTCACCTCTCCACATCCCAGATGCATGGCCTTGAGCCTTTCCCAGCCTCAGAGTCCAGCTTCTCCAGGCCTTCCCCAGCTCCAAGCATGGATCCACTGTCCACTGAGGACCTACCCAGAGGCCAGAATGCAGAACGAACCTCCCCACCTCTGCAGACCCCAGGATCAGCCTCTGATTCTCAGCCTCTGATCTCACCTGTAGCCTCCCCATTGGATCAGCCTCCCCCTGACCACATGTCCATAGGGCATACCCCTAGTGAGAGCCCAGGCCGCCTTGGCCCGTGTGTGACATCAACACCACCAGTAAGAGTCATGGCTTGTGAGCCACCCGCCCTCGTGGAGCTGGTGGCCGCTGTGAGGGACGTGGGGGTCCAGCTGCAGAAGCTGACCCAGGCCCTGGAGCAGGACCGGCAAGAGCGCCAAGCCCTGAATCTGGGGCTGACCCAGATGGTAGAGGCCACTCGTGGCCTGGGGCAGCTGGGTGAGGCTGTGAGGAGATTGGCAGAGATGGCCTGGGTCCCCAGCACACCCTCACCAATCCCCACCACCCAGGAGGAGAAGGAGGAGGAGGAGGAGAGACCTCTGAGGGGGGATGTGTGACTCTCAGATAGAAAGGGTATGACATCAACCAGGCCATTTTTTTCCCTTTTTATAATCCCCCTTCTCCCCAAAAATCTAAATAGAAGATGTGAGTGACAGTCACTGGGGGACTAGGAGAATTCTGAGAGATACAATCACAAGGTCAATCTTGATTGAAGA